TAGAGAAATGAAATCAAAACTACAGTGAGGTATCACCTCACACCAGTCAGCATGGCCATCATTTAAAAGTCTACAAATAATAAATGCTGGAGAGGGTATGAAGAAAAGAGAACACTCCTACATTCATTGCTGGTGGGAATGTAAATTGGTACAGCCACTATGGAGAACAGTATGGAGGTTCCTTTAAAACCTAAAAATACAGTTAACCATATGATTCAGCAATCCCACTCTTGGGCATATATCCAGAGAAAACTCTAATTCGAAAAGATATATGCACCCCAGTGTTCACAGTTGTATTATCTACAATAGCCAAGACATGGAAGCAACCTAAATGAATGAATAAAGAAGATGTGGTATATATAAACAATGGAATACTACTTAGCCATAAAAAAGAATAAAATAATGCCATTTGCAGCTACATGGATGGACCTAGAGATTATCATGCTAAGTGAAGTAAGTCAAACAAAGACATACCGTATGATATCACTTATATGTGGAATCTAAAATATGATACAAGATATTTACAAGACAGAAATAGACTCACAGACATTGAAAACAAACTTACGGTTACCAAAGGAGAAGGGGTGTGGGAGGGTTAAATTAGGAGCTTGGGATTAACAGATACACACTATTATATATAAAATAGACAAGGTCCTACTGTATGGCTCAGGGGACTGTCTTCAATATCCTGTAACAAACCATAACGGAAAGGAATATGGAAAAGAGTCACTGAGCTGTACACCGGAAACCAACACGACATTGTAAATCAACTATACGCCAATAAAATAATGAAAAATTAAAAATAAAAAAAAAAGTAAAAGATGAAACCAATGTAAAGCTCCACCCAATTGCAAGAAAGGAGCTGAGTACAGGAGAGAGGGACAGGTTCACGGACCAAGGAAGTTTCCTGAGAAGACCGGAAGAGTGGGGTCTAGGGATGAGGTAGGGCGGTTGGCTCCGGGCAGAGGGGAGAGTGGATGTGGTGGGTTGCAGTGGATTTATGTTTGGGATTAGGAAAAGGAAGGGTTCCTACTCGATGGCTGAGGAGACCCACCTCAGGCTGTAGGGTGAGGGGCTGGAGAAGGTTGAAATCGTTGTTGTTGTAGATTATGAGAGAGTATATTGTCCAGAGAAGCAGAGTTGAGTTGGCCCTCAGCACTGAGGGCCTATTGGTGGTTCCAGTGATACCAGCCAGTCCTGTGATGTGACATTTTCCATCATGTCAGTTGCTTGGGCCCAGACATACGGGAGATAGAGTGGGGTTGATCCACAGTTGGAGCTTTGCCAGATAGAGGCAATAAAAAAGAGGGACAAACGATTCTGAGCTGGCTAAGAGAGATGTAGAGAGAGGAGAGGACTGAAGGACGGGGAGGCCAGCCACTCAGAGGTCTCAAGGCAGAGGGAGCAGCGGGCCAAGCCAGTGAAAAGGAAAGGGACAGGGGTCCCACCTCCGATATTCATAAGGCTAGTTCCACCCCCTTTCTTTTATCTTTTTTCTTCATCCCATCCATTTACTGTTTCTCAACGTTTCCCACTTTCTCCCTGGTTCTTACCCTGGCACTCTCCTTCAAAGAGTTCCTCTCCTTGCCACGGTGGAGCTTAGCTGGCTGACGAGGGTGCGGTGAGGGGCTGCGGCATCCAACAGGCCTGGATTCAAAACCTGCCTCCACAGCTTAATCATTGTGTAACTCTGGGCAAATGATGTATCCGCTCAAAGCCTCCATTTTCTACTGTAAAATGGAGAGAACTTGTTCCATCTCACTGGGATGCTGAGGGTTAGGGATATGGCTATGGAATGTTCTAGCAGCATGCCCAGCACATAGTCATTTCTCAATAAGTGGTAGTCTTTTCCCCCTACTAGCTGCCACCAGTTCTGTACCACTGTGTCATGCTGGGTAGGCCTGCCCTGCCCAAGAGCCAGCCAGGTGGCCGAACCCCTCATCCATTACCGCTCTACCTTTCTCCCCCTTCCCAGCCAAGTTCTTGAAAGAGAAGAACTGCTCCTCCCTGGGGCCCCCTCCTCTACCTGCAGGAGGTAGGTAGGCAGGCAGATTATTCCTGGTTGCAGGGTGCTGTGGCCCCTCTACCTGCCCACAGATCTTCAGGCTGACCCGAAGCAAGGTGGACGACGACAAGGCCCGCATCCTAGTCTTCAGCCTCCTGGACCACGCGGCCCTAGAGGAGCTGGACCTGTCACACAACCTCATCGGAGACCGGGGCGCGCGCGCCGCCGCCAAGCTGCTGGGCCACAGCCGCCTGCGCGTGCTCAACCTCGCCAACAACCAGGTGCGCGCGCCCGGCGCCCAGTCGCTGGCTCACGCCCTGGCGCACAACAGCAACCTCGTCTCCCTCAACCTGCGCCTCAACTGCATCGAGGATGAGGGCGGCCAGGTGCTCGCCCACGCCCTGCAGACCAACAAGTGCCTCACCACACTGCACCTCGGGGGCAACGAGCTGTCCGAGCCCACTGCCACGCTCCTCTCCCAGGTGCTGTCCATCAACACCACGCTCACTAGCATCAACCTGTCCTGCAACCACATCGGGCTGGTGAGCCACCGCTTCTGGGACAGGCAGGGCCAAGGGGAGGCCCTGGGGCCTTGGGAGGCGGGAGCGGAATCCGATTGCTGTGGGGTACGTAGGGGATAATTGTTAGGATCACAGCCTTTACCCGGTTATCAGCCCAGCTCTGCCATTTAGCACTTGGTTAAGTTACTTAAACTTTTGGGGCCTCCATCTCCTCCTCTGTAAAATGGGAATAATAATAGCATCTACTTCTAAGTGTTGTTACTGGGAGGATTAAATGAGTTATGCTTGTAAAGCAGTTATCCATTGCAGGCACTGGCTAGGTCCTCAGTAATTGCTAGCTGTTACTATTACTCGGGGTTCTATAGTACGGATACTGGGTGCTTATGCTAGGCACCCAGTATCCATTCGTTATTCTTTAACCCTCGCAGTTATCTAGTAAAATGTGTATTCTTAACCCCACTTTACAGATGGAAAACTGAACCTCAGAGAGGTTATTGAGTTGCCCGAGAGCATCCAGTCAGGTTGAAAGCCTGGATCCTTTCCAATAGACAATGTCTTTCAAATCTTGACCAAGTCTCAGAGTAACAAATGCAATTTTCATGAACACCTAGTGAATGTATACATCAATATAACATGATTGAAAGTTACTTGTACGGCTTGTGATGTATACTGATGATTTCCTTTATAATGTACACGGCTTCATTAAAAACAAAAATGCTCTGTGACCCATTGAATTGACTTTGCAACACGCTGTTGGATCACAACCTTAGAACAGCAGCATTCTGCCTCCCAATGTGGAATTTTTCGTATTAGGCCTGGCCCACCCAACCCAGAAGGGGCTGGAGCTGTAGGAACTAGCGAGGACAGCCCTCCATGTACTCCAGTTAGGGCCCTGCACCCTCTACCAAACCTCCCCCGAGGACAGTCTTACTCACATAGACACTGTCTCCAGAGGGGGTGCTCTTGGCTACAAGTAACAGAAAGCTTAATCGGGAAATGGCTTAAACAAGAGGAATATTCATTGTGTCCCATAATCAGAAGCCGGGGGGAAGGGGGCTCTGGGGTTGGTGAGATCCTTGGCTCAGCACCGTCCTCTGCTCTGCCCACCTAACCACACAGCCACGTCCTCTCTTGTGCGACTCTCATGAGCCCAAGATGGTGGCTGCATTTTCCATTGGGCCACGCTCAGAGGCAGAAAAAGGGAGACCACTACTCTCTTTTGTTCTCTTTTATGAGGAGAAACTTCCCAGAAGTCACTCCCTCCAAACTTCCTCCTCATATCTCACGAGCCAGATTTGTCTCACGTGCTCATGGCTGAACCAGAGGAGCGGAATCACCATCACTGACATAACGCCATGTTTTTCAAACCACTGGGGTTGAAAAATCAATTTAGTGAACTTTGAGCACCATTTTTCTCAGGGAATAGGATGGAACAGGATAGAATAGGATAGAAAATGTCAGTGCCACACAAATAGGTTAAGAATTGTTTTGTGAACCTGTTGTTTCAGTCACGTCTGTATAAATATGGGTATGTGCGCACACACCCGTGTGTGTGATCCTGGGTAGTGGCGGAAAGTGATGCTTTCCTTTGTATTCCTGAACCAGGATGGCGGGAAGCAGCTTCTAGAAGGCATGTCAGACAACAAGACCCTCCTGGAGTTTGATTTGCGCCTGTCAGGTATCGCCCAGGAGAGCGAGTATCTCATCGGCCAGGCCCTCTGTGCCAACCGCGAAGCAGCCCGCCAGCGGGCCCTGAGTCCCAGCCACTTCATGTCACCAGCCACGGCCAAGGGCCCTGAGAACCTGGCGGGATAAGATGGGGACCCCAGCCTCATCCCTCATTCATGCCCCTGCCATGCCTGCTGCAGAGTGTCACACCGGTCTGGAGGGAGTGGGGAGGGAGACCAAGAATATCCTTGGGATGAGTGATCAAGGGTTGTGCAGATAAAGATGTGAGGAGAGGAAGGGGCCTGGGATAGGGGTAGGAAATAGGACTTAGCCCTGGTACGCAGGGAGAGGATATTACCGGACTCACTGAAATGACTGACTTCTCCCAAGAATGGGGAAGGCAAAGCAGACTCTAAGGGACTGTGCCTGCCCAGACTCTCCCACAGGGGTCGCCCATCTCCCTGACCACCCTCCTCCCCACCATTTTTCTCTCTACCAAACAGATCCTTGACCTCTTGACCTTCAAACACACTCTCTCTCTCCACCCCCACCCACCCCCCCGCCAGGCTACAGCATAGCTTTGCCTGGCTCTTCCACCATCACCCCTGCCGGTGCCACCTCCCTCTTGCTTAACTCCCGCCTAAGTCATCCAGTTCTACAAGCCACGCCATCCCTAATCCATTCCCTTCAACCTGGGAAGGGGGAAACAGAGGTGACAGGAGGGGCTCAGACCCATCGGCCTTCCCAGATTGCTGCTCACGGACGGGGAGATGGCGAGAGAGGTGCGACACTGGGAAGGGAAGTCAGTGAGTCATCTGCAACTTTATTATCCACCAGTTTGATTTATACAATCTTTGCGCTTGGAAATCCACGACAGAAAGGCCACAGTGTGATGCACCCAGTTGACAGAGACCTGTCTTCTCCCCAGCCAGGCCCAGCCCACCCCACAAGCCCTTGTCCCCAGGACACATGAAACCTTCCAGGCATCCTCCATGAGTCCCCGTCACTCTGTGGCTGCCCGCCTTGGGGCCACACCCACGGGAATCACATCTACCCACAGGGCCACAAGAGGGCCTGATGATGGATTCAGGCAGAGCCCCACCTCCCATCCTCCTTGGGCTGAACCTCCAGCCCTGTGTTTCCAGAGGGTGTGTCATGGGCTGCACCCACAGCCTTGGGGCGCTTTCCAGGGACTCCTTCCAACAAGCAGAGCACCAAAGGGGGCTTGGCAGTGACCGCACATGTGTGCCTGTCTGGGCAACCTTGAGTCTGTCTGTGCCTGACATCCTCTGACAGTTCGAGTGCAAACGTGTAGGTGTGAGGGTGTGTGAGTGTGTGTGTACATAGCCACAGCTGCTAGCAGAGGGTCTAATTAGAGAAACAAGAACATTCAGTGTAAAGTTTAATTTTAGAGATTAGTTAATTTTCTGGTTTTGTTTTCCCTGGCAATCAATAAAGCTACCAAGAAAACAGACCAAAGAATTGGTTTCTCTCTAAGTCTGTGCATATGTGGGAGGTGTGAGGCTGTCTGTATGAGAAGACCTAGGCAGAAATGGTCAATACAGGCAAAAATAATAACAGCCCCTCCCCTTTCCCCCTCCTCCCAGCTCAGGTTCTGTCTGAGGAATGGCCCTGAGGCAGGAGGAGCTGAGTTCCTCCCTCCTTGGAGCCATGAGGTGGCCAGGATGCCCCACACAAGGGCGTGACATCCGGGTGCCAACTGGCCAAGAACTGGGTCCTGAGGCCACAGCTCACCACCTGTACCTTGAAGATGTCCGTTCAGAGGAAACGGGTGCTCCAACCCCCAGGCCCCTGGAGAGCACAGTGCTGGCGGGTAGGTGGCACTGCTGCCCAGGGAAACCTAGTGGGCAGCTGTTCCCCTCCTCTCCAAGCCTCCTCTTCTCCGGCCTCCTCTCTCTTCCCACTCAGCCATCTCCACCTGAAAGTTAGGCTCAACCCTGATGGGCCACAGGCCGTGGTGTCCCCAAAATCTGTGGCCCCCAGTCCCCCAGGAAAGGTTAGGGGAGCCAGAGGAAATGTTGCATAGGTGGAGGCCATACCCTTGGGGGGTACAGGCCTGGCTAGGCTGGAGGAAGAGGGGAGAGGCTGGAGGAGGGAAAGGGGCAGCTCTGATGGCTCAGGTGACATGAGAAGCATCAGGGGTGAGCCATGTTGGAGGCCTGAGGGTTTTCCTCTCCAGCTGGAAATGTGAGCTCAATCCCTGGGCACTGTCAGCTGGGAAAACATTAGCCAGGGGATTTGGGAGGGCAGGGGGTTTGTACACAGACATGCACACGGAAGCACATCAGGGTAGGAGCAGTGGGGGAGCAGCACACAGGGCCAGCGCCCTGCGGCGGAGGCAGTTTGCCCCTTTGAAGACCCTGGGACACACAGCAGGGCTTCAGCTCATGGGCTAGGGGAGGACAGAGGGGTCAGGCAAGATTTAGAGAATTCCTGCCTCTGACCCTGCCACTGGAAATGAGTCTTTCTCCAGCTGGGGTTCGTGACAAGGTCCTCAGCCCTGCAGAGGCTCTGCTTGCACACGACCACTCTCCACTCTTCCCCACAAGTTCGGGGGATGCAAGGGCCGTCCCCCACAGACACTCCGACCTTTGGGGGGTCTTTTCACGACCCTCTCCTCTTTGACTCCCACTAGCTTCCTGAGTTCCCCCTTGTCACCCAGGCCTATCTCCTGCTCTCCCCACTTAGTCATTCATTCACCTTGGTCAGCTTGAAGGAATGCTGCCTGGGTGGTCTCCCACCCTCTCTGAAGGGAGTGCCCTCCCAGAACCCAGGTGACGAGGCTACAGTTTAAAGGACTGAGGTGCACTGCCCTCCACAGTTTGCCTTGCCCCTCACCCCTGGCAACAGCTCTTCAAAGCCAGGGAGCAGGAAGGGAGGGAGAAGTGTGAAATCTGCATGGTGAGTACAGTCCCCCCCCCAGGACCCAGCCTCCCAGGGCCCAGTGAGATAAACAGCAGCAGAGGGAGTGGCAGAGAGGAAACCCCGGGCCAGCGCCAAGAAGAGATCAACAATTCCATGGCTTTGAGGCTTTGAGATGGAGTATCGCGGCTGACACCTGCCCAGGCCTCAGACCCACTGAATTCATTAGCTTGGATGGAAGCCAGCCCTGCTCTTCTCCAAACCACTGCCCCCTCGGTAGAGAGAGGCCCCAGCGGGGCCAGGCTGCGGAGGAAGGAAAGCCCCAATTGCCCTTCCCCTGGCCTGTAAACCTCCCCAGCTGCAAAGCGAGGGCCTCTCCCTTGAGGTGAGGCCCAACGCGGGTCCCACGGCAGTCTCCACGTAACAGTCATTAGATCCGTTGAAAGGCGGGACTGGAAATTCCGAGTGTGCGAGTATGCGTGTGGGAAGTGGAGGTGTCCCCCTAGGAACTCAGGGGCGGGGCTGGAAGAGACAGCTCTGCCGGGGCGGGATTCCCTCCCCTCCCCACAGCTGTCTATGTTCAGCAAAGGAGGGTGTGGGGAGGTGCTCGAATCGGCCCCTTCGGGGTCTGTCCCTTGCCCCCTCGCCTCCCCCCACCCCACCCGCACCGTGCCCAGCACAGCCTCGGCCACATTCTTGACTCCCCCTGCTACACGCAGGGAGCACCATCGGCGAGGGGCAGTGAGGAGGCCGGCGGGCCGGTCCAAGGCCCCGGGGTCACAGTGAGGTCTCTACGCAGGAGCCGTGGCGGTGCAACGGCCGGTGGCCATGGCCCAGACATCCCTCCTGCCGGTGCACGATGAGCACGGGGAAGTAGAGGGCGTCGTGGTAGGGCGGCGGCGGCCCGCCCTCCTCCTCGTCTTCGTCGTCCTCGTCGTCCCCCATGCTGGCCTGGCTGGACAGCCGCGTCTGCTCGGTGGGGCAGCTCGCCTCGTTGACGCTCCCGCTCCGGCTGCGCCACAGGCAGCTGCGCCGGGAGCCGTAGAGGCGGCCTAGGGAGAAGCGGCTGCCCCCGCAGCCCGCCCCGCCGCCGGGCCCCGGTCCGGCCCGAGGGCTGGCGCAGATGCTAAGAGCGCTGCGCGAGAAGATGGAGGAGCTGCTGACGGCGCGCTGGCAGTGCTCGCAGCTGCGCCTGTACGGGGCCAGGCCCGCTGCGCCTGGGCCACCCACCCCACCGTAGCGGCACGTGGGCGCGTAGCCGCCCGCCGCGCCCCCAGCACAGTGCGCGCCCAGCCCTGCCAGGTCCATGAGCACCGCCTCCGAGTAGCTGGGCACCAGCTGCTGGTTGGAGCGGATGTGCCACTCGAGCTCCGTGCTGTCCACCGTGTTGACCCGCGGCAGGCGGTGCGTGAGAGGGGGCAACAGCTCGTCGCTGGGGCTGAGGCCGCCGCCCGCGCTGCCGCTGGCCGAGCTGGGGCCCTCCAGGCCGAAAAGCTTCTCCACGTGGTAGTGCGCGTAGGCCGTGCGGTACTCGGCCAGCACGCGCAGCGGCCACGACAGCGTGAGCAGCGCCGCAGCCCAGAAGGCCGACGAGCAGGCGTACCAGGGTGGCCTGGCTGGGTCGGGGAAGGCCACCATGAATTCGCGGAAGTCCACGTTCTTGAGGTGCATGCCCTCGCGCGCCTCCATGTAGTCGTCCAGGCCCTCATTCTCGGCGAAGAAGCGCGCGCGCTGGCACAGGTACGCGTTCTCGGCCTCCACGCTGGCGAAACTGAAGCACTTGGTGAAGCGCAGGCGCGTGGCAGGCGCGCCCTCCAGCCCCACCAGCGTCTTGGACACGTCGCGGACGCCACAGCGCTCGTAGTCGAACTCGGCCTCGGCCACGTGCGTGTTGACGCGCTCATGGTAGACCTGTGGCGCCGGGGAAGGCGGCAGGAGTCGCTTCTCTCTGCTTACCCTCCTCCGCCCCATCACTGCTCTTGGCGCCGGATCAAACCCTCAGCCTGTCCTGGTTTAGCTCCCGCTTGGGGCCAGGTAAGATCTTATCGGGTTTATAGAGACATTGAGGCCCTCAGCTTCATCAGTGAGTTAGAGATGAGGGCGGGGCTAGGAACTCATCCCTACTTATGTGCCTTCTCACTTTAACTAAGCCCTGCTCTGTCTAGGGGTCAGTCCCAGGCCCTGAATTGTCCCTCCGGCTTGCCTGATCCTTTTGCCACTGCATCTTTTGTCCCACGCTGCCCCCTCATCACCCCGAACAGCCTACCCGTCTTCCCTTTTACAAGTGTGTTTCCAAATGGGCCCCCCAGAGGAGGTCCCTGTGGACCCCCTTTGTCTCTGGTCTCCCTGCTGCCACCTTTAGCTAGTACCCGGCCTCCCTCCTGATCCTCACAGGGCCCAAGCTTTGTTTACCCAGCCCAATACTGAGACAGTGGAGAGGTCCCCCTTATCTGGGAAAATCTCCTCTTCCACCAGGGCTCTAATATGCCTAATCCCAGCAGGTATACGGAGTGCTGCTTGACACCCCCTCCATGCCTCCCAGGCCTACCTCCACCTTTTTGCCAGCTGACCCCCACCTCTGGGAGCCTCACACTTGGGATCCACAGCCCTGAGTTTGAGTCTAGCACTACCACTTAGAAGCTGCAGAACTTGGGCAAGTCACTGAGCTCAGGTCTCTTTAACTGTGAAAGAGGACTCGGTAGCAGGCACCTCACTAATCAGCCTGTGAGGCTGTGCATGTGAAACACCTCCAACCATTAAGCACTAAACCATACAGACCCTGGAGCCAGACTGCCGGGGTTCAAATCCCAGCTCCACCACACACTAGCTGTTTGACCTTAGGTAAGTTACTGAACCTCTCCAAGCCTCAGTTTCCTCATCTGTAAAATGGGAGTAATAGTTACCTACCTCATAGGGTTATCATGAGGGTTAAATAAATGATTTTACATTTGTAAAGTAGTTAGAATAGACCCTGGCTGCCAGTAAGTGTTTGCTGTTATAATTATGGTGGGTGTTATTGTCCTCCTGTTGCAGTGCCCACAAGAGCTCACTGCTGCCTGTGCTCCTCCCCGAGGACAGTCGAGCAGGGTCCCAGCACCCCCTCCATCTGGACTGGCCTCTGCTCCCCTCCAGCTCCTCACCTGGGTGGTGGTGTAGGCGTCTCCATTGCGGTATCGGGTGACCTGGCGGGTGCGGCGGACATAGTGGTAGCTGATGGCCTTCCACCAGATACATGGCGTGGCCTGCTGCATGCGGCCCACGCGCTCCCGCACGCTGCTCACATCCACGCGGTGCTGCAGCTCGTGGCGGGCTTGGCAATGCCAGCACTCCACCAGGTAGACAGCGTACAGCATGAGCAGGAAAGCCAGGGGGATGTACACATAGCCGTTGGAGCAGGGGCTGTCGTGGTACATGAGGCTGTTGCCCTGGTAGGCGCTGCTGAAGGTGAGGCGGGTCACCGTGGTGACGTGGCACCAGGCCACGGCCCCCAGGCAGCCGTACATGAGCAGCGAGAGGAGCAGGCACTTCCAGTGGGACTCACGGCAGAGGGACTTGGTGAAAGAGGGCTGGATGGGACGCTGCTGCTCAGAAGGGCAGGCAAAGGGGCCAAGATGAGTGCGGAGTGAGACGGAGTGGCAAGTTTCAGCACAAAGATGGATGGCGGGCCAGAGGCCGACACCGGCGATGACAGGCAGAGACAGACAGGAATGTGCAGAGAGAGTCAGACCAAGATGGGAGGCCAGGACCAGAGATTAACACAGAAGTAACCCAGAGTGAGCCATGAGGACAGGAAAGAGGGACGGAATACCAGTATAGAGAAGTGCAGAGGCAGAGGGATCAGAGCCAGAGATGGAGGGAGAAGGCCCAGGTGGCAGAGAAGACACAGATGGATAGGATGGCACCCAGAGAAACAGAGTCCAAAGACAGACACAGAGATGGCAATGAAACAGGAGAAGGTGTGCATAGGGAAGACAGGGAGGACAGATAGGCATCAGAGAAGGCAGGTCCCCAGCCTGGACCCCTTCCAGGTATTCCAGGAAAGGGGAGAGGGGCCCACTGACATCACCTTCCCACTTCACAGGTGGGGCCCTCCCTTCTTCCAGAACCTAGGAGGAGCCACTTCCTCTGACCCATCCACCTCCCTGTCCCTCACAGACAATTAGCCTCATACCTCCCAGGAAACCCCAAGCCCTGTCTCCTTCCCCATACTCTGGACCCCAGGTGCCCTGTGAGTCTCCCAAACATCTACTCCTGTTCTAAGATAAAAGGCAGGGGGGTTTGTGTCCCTGAGCAGCAAGTGGTCCAGGAGGATATATCCAGAGGGCAGAGGCATGTGGCTGGGGAGAGGGGATGTGGGACAGGGGTGGGGGGGCAGGGAGGGAGATGTTCGCAGCCCAGCCATTTGTCAAGAGAAAACGATTTTTGGTAAGGGGGTCTATTAAAGCACTTATCATATTCTGGCCCACAGTTGTCCCGGTGAGTTGTTTACGTGTGTGGCTCCTCCACTAGACTGGGTGCCCCTGAGGGCAGGGCCTCATTCCCTTTGCATCCTGGGTGCTGGCACCCACAGCCGCTCAATGATGAGTACTGAGTCGGATTTCTGGTGGCAGCCTGGGCTTTCCCTCTCCTCCCCCCACTGTCTAGCTTTAGGAACCCTCCACACACCCTCCTGCTGAGATCCTGACTTTTTCTTTCAATCCCCCAGGCCGAACCTGGAGGCTAGCCAAGGGAAGGGAGAGAAAGGTGGAGAGGAAGGGCACAGTAACAGACAGCAGGCCCTGGACCCGGTGTGAAATCCGAGGAAAGATCTGGAAGTACAGATAGGTAGGTGGGCTGGGAAATAGTACTCAGCACATGCAAACAAGATTAGGGGATGTGTGCCTTTCAGAGAGCCTTGTCCTGCGAGGGGAGCATATGTGCCTCTTGGTGTGCCTGAGTGTGCACTTGTCCCAGCGAGAGGGCGTGTGGAAGGGGCTCTGCCTGCGGGTCCTGCCTGTGCGCTTCTGCCCCAGTGCCGTGTGCAATGTGTGCACGAGTGTGCATGGGAGATGGAGGAGCCCCTGGTACTCTCCTCCATTTCTTTTGTCTCCAGATTCAGAGGACTGAAGAGTAGGACCCCCAACAAGGGATGTGCTGGTTACCAAAACTGGGAAGGATTCCTGGGCTCAGGACTCCCTGGAGGGGGGCCTGCATGGATATGGGGAGAGAGAGGCGCACATCCTCCACGCACACACTCCCAGTGACTCCAGGGGGGAGATCGCCTCTGCACACATTCGACCTTTTTAGGGCCCCAACTCACGTTAACACTACCATTTCCCCCGTGGAACTGGCAGGTACTCTCCTGCCTCCGCAGCCCCTACAAGTCACCCTGCCTGGCCTTCAAGATAGCATCCCCTCCGTGAGATGGGATCCCGGACACCATCCCCACCCCCACCAGCCCGGGATCCGCGAGGCTCCGCCCCTAGGCCCCTCCCCCTGCCCGGGACCCCCGAGCCCCGCCCCCGGCGCGGCCCCTTCCCTGCCACCGCGGACAGCTCCGGCCGCCGGGTGGGGGCAGCGAGGCGGGACTGCGGCTGCGGCGACCGGCTCGGGGTGCGGGGTGCGGGGCGCCGGCCGCGCTGCGGCGGAACCGGCGGGGGCCGCGCGCGGCGGGGGATGGGGGCCAGGCTGCGGCCGCGCCGGGGGAAGGGGCGCCGCCGGCTCTCACCTCCTCTCGGGCGAGGCCCTCGTCCGCCGCCGCCGCCGCCGTGGGCTCCTCCGGGACCCCGGGGCCGCCACCGCCGCCGCCGCCGCCGCCGCTCTCGCCCGCGGCCGAGCCAGGCGGGGACATGGCGTAGAGGGGGCGCGTCGAGCTCAGGGCCTCCCGGGGGGCTGCCGGGGGCCGGGGGCATCCTGCGCCGGCTCTGGGGAAGGGGCGGGAGGGGGCGGGGCCCTTGCTGCTCCCCACCCCCCGCCGGGGGGAGGGGGCCGGGAAAGGGCACCACGGGTAAGGGGCTCGGGGATGGGGATGGGGAGGCGGGCTGGGGGGCCGGGCCGGGGGGGCCGGGGCCGGGGGTGGGTGTCACCTTGAGGCCCTCGCGGCGCCGCTCCGCCTCCCGCCCGCTCCCGCCGCCGCCTTTTGTCTGAGCCGAGCTGGAGCCAGCGCGCCCCCCCTCTTCCTCCCAGCGCAAGAGCCCCGCCCCCGGCCCCCCAAACTCCGCCTTCCCCAAGCCTACCTAATGGCCACCCCAAAGGGGAAAAGCAACAGGGGCTCCCCGCACCCCTTCCCCACTCCCAGCCCTGCTCACCACACGCGCCATCCCGGGAAGATCTAAGCCGAAACTCCTCTCGGTCTGTTTGTGGAGGGGGCGCCAGCGGTTCAACCAACATCCCTCCCCATCTTTGGTTCCCGCAAGTTCCCGGGGCTGAGAGTGGGGAAAGGAAATTGAGTCTTGGAACGCTAGGGAACAGCCTTATTCCCAGTTGGATGGTAAAGGGTTAAGGCAGGAGCCAGACTTCAGAGGGCAGACCCATCTGAACAAGGATGGGATAGGGTGAAAAGGAAAGGATTAGAGCTAGATGTGAGAAAGGACTAACAGAGGGCAGAAGAGGGGACATTGAAACCAGCCTTCACTGAATCATCTTCCTACCCTAGGAAAACAGCCCCAGAGAAGCAGTGAAGTGTGTACATAGCCCTAGGCTGGAGATCAGGAAACCTGAGTACAGATTCTTAATCCTGGCTCTCTCATTAGCTGTGTGACCTTGGGCAAGTGCCTTCCCCTCTCTGAGCCTTAGTTTCCTCATCTGGGCAGTGAGAAAGTTGACTGGACAATCTCTAAGGCTCTGACTTTCTTCTGTGGGTGTAGGAGACAAAGTCACAGGCCACAGGCCAGGCTGAGTGACTGCAGGTCACCTGTCCCTTCATGCCATCCACCCACAGTGCTTTTCCCTGTCCCGCTTAGGGGCAGAAAGGAAACTGCCATTCATTCATTCCTGAATGCATCCATTCAATAAACAGGTATTAAGGGACTTCCCCAGTGGTCCAGTGGGTAAGACTCCATGCTCCCAATGAAGGGGGTCTGGGTTTGATCCCTAGTCTGGGAACTAGATCCCACATGCATGCCACAACTAAGAATCCACATGCCTCAACTAAAGATCCCGTATGTCCTGATGAAGACCCGGCACAGCCTCAATTAATAAATAAAATAAATATATTTTTTAAAGAATCACATTTAACTTAAAAAAAAAGGTATTAAATACCTACTGTGTGCCCTGTACAGAAATGCAAACATACAATTTCCTGTCCTCAAGGAGCACGAAGTCTAATGGGGAACGAGGACATGGAAACCAATCATTATGATAGAATAGGATAAAGGCTACACTTGATCAATCTATGTGTGCACAGTCACTGCGGAATCCTGTTGTGTGTCATGTGTTACATTAAAGTCTTTGACATATAGTGACTTTCCCCATTTACCCACAAGAAACCAAGGCAGCGGGAGAGTTAGTGACTTATTCAAGGTCACTTGCTAGTACTCAAAGAGTGGTCCTAGAATCCAGACCTTTCCATAGGGGTCTTTGGGGGTCAGAAGTCAGCTTGAGGCAAAGCCTGGATATCTGATCTTTGGGAATAGAGGAAAAGGCCACTGATGGTCCTGCCTCTCCTCTGGGACAGAACAGCCTCTGCCTCCACCCACATACCCACCTCCCACTCCTGGTCCTGCCTCCATTTTCCTACTCTTCCCTTTCCAGGGAAGGTGAAGGGGGCTCAGCCTGACTGTCACTTCAGAACTATCCAGCCTACATGATCCTCCCCAGATCAGTGAGTCCATCCTCCCTGCCAAAACAGAGGAAGGGTGTGGTCCCAAAAGGCATGGTTCTCCTTCATCCCCATGGCAGAGGAAGAATCTCACTTGATGGCTCATTCCAGTGTCTCTCTCCTACCCATGATTTTTGGGAAGTCCTGCCTACAGCTAACTCCAACCCTTCTTCTGGTATCAGTTCACTCCACCTAGTTCAGTGCTTACTGCAGATGGAGAGCAGAGGTCCTAACCCTGGCGTTTCCTAACCCAGATGGGATCTTCACATTCACCATTTAGTTGTTCTAATCTTTCTCCTGTCCCCCAGCCCCACTGCCTTCCTGACTCCATTTCAGGGGGCTTTGGAAGAGAGGTAGCCCAACTTCTTTTGGCCAACCCCAGAGCTCCCAAGAGATAAAAGACCACCTCCCCTTTCTCCATACACACACATGCCCCCTCCTTGGAAGCCCCGAGAAAAGAGGGGTGAAAGGAGGGGGCTGTGGAAGGAGCCAGCTAACCGGCTGGTCACCTTGGCAACTGGGCCTGTTTCCTGAAGATGAGCCTGGCTGGAGTGGGCATAGATGGGAAGTGAGAGCACCACAGAGGGAACCAGAAAACAGAGAAGAGGACTGGAGGGGCCCAGCCTTGAAGATTGGAGCTGAGGGAGTGAAGTCAGGACCCTGACCATGCTGTGACCTGAGTCAAAGTCCCCAGGTCATCTTTCCAGATGACACTGCCATGGTCCCTGTTCCCATTCCTAAATTTTCCCCAGAAGGGCTTCCTGTCCTAGTACAGGCTACATTCTGGAAGTAGTCAGTGACTCAATGCTGACCTCATGTGGCCAGAAAAGGGGCTGCCAAACACCTGTTATGGTTTAGAGCCAGACACTGGACTGGATTGGGGTATGTTTTTCCTTAAAATCAGCCTCTGTACGTATGAGAGAGGCGGTCCCTGCACGCTCCTGAGTTCCTGTGCCCTTGCGGAGAGCTCAGATGTCCCCAACCCCTTAGACCTTCAAAAAGGAAAGAAAGTTTCACTGAAAACATTTTTAAAGTTTTGGATTAGGAACAGGAAAACGCAGCTCTACACTTTCAGATTGTTTGACCTTGGGCAAGCCAACTCACCTCTCTGGGACTCGGCTTGCAACTTTAAAATGGAGGTGATTTTGAACCCAAGTGGTTAGGGTTGTACTTTTTGCTCCAGCCTTTGAGGTTGGGAGAGGAACAGGTCAGGGGAGGAAGTTGAGAACATCTGAAGTCACGCTGACTCCAAGGGAAGGAGATACCTCAATTTCCTTGGGCTTTCCCCTCACGGCTCCTCACTGCCTCATGCTCAACACATCCTCCCCACTCTGGTCGTCGGTGGGGATGGAGAGCAGTGGGTCATCTCCTCCCTTCTGCCCTTCCCCCTCTCTTCTCCATCCACTCACGCCCTCCCCAAACAGAGACTAGGTACTTCTCCCAGCCCTCTTCCCTTCCCATCTCCAGTTCAAATGGAACCCCCTTCCTCTCACCCCACTGGGTAGTTGGCCCCATGCTGTGCCTCCCTAGCACCCTGTTTTCACTCCTATCTTAGCCCAATCACTCTGTGTTGTAACTTTGAGGGGGCTTTTTGAAGGCTGGAACCATGGGAAAATTTTTTTGTGGGGGAGGGGGTTGTTGGTTATTACTGTTACTGTGATACTCGGTTTTGCTTCCAGCAGAGAGAACGATGTCAGGCATTTAGGAGAATCTTCATACATGTTTTTCAAATGAATGAATAAAATGAGGTTTCATGGGGATGGTGGTAGGGAAGCTGCTTAGTAGCTGCCCGTGCACACCCCAGCGTCCTTCCCCCAATGCCAGAGATGGAAAAGGGAGATGTTTTCTTGGGGATGACCTTCTCAGTGCATTGCTGGAACTTGGGGTAGGGGATAAATCATGGGACAGTGATCACCACGTGAGTGGGGTTTGCCTACAGCCTCATTAGCCCCAGGGAAAGTAGGGATGGGGAAGGAGGAAAGATGTGCTGGGGCTGGGGCTGCCAGGGGAACCTCAGCAGAGTGCTGCCCAGCATATCTCGGGCCTCCCCATCCTGGTCCCACCATAAGGAACTAAACTTCCCTAACCTGATGTCACCACCCGAGGCCACTGTTTCATCCCTGTGAGGAATGACCCCTCTGCTTTTTTAGACAACAGTTTTCCTGAAAAAAACCACTTTCAAAAAGCACATCCTGGGCTTTCCTGGCGGTGCAGTGGTTAAGAATCCGCCTGCCAATGCAGGGGACACGAGTTTGAGCCCTGGTCGGGGAAGATCCCACATGCCCCGGCGCAACTAAGCCCGTGGGCCACAGCTACTGAGCCCGCGCACCTAGAGCCCAGTGCTCCACAAGAGAAGCCACCGCAATGAGAGGCCTGCGCTCCGCACCGCAACGAAGAGTAACCCCTGCTCGCCGCAACTAAAAAGCCTGCGTGCAGCAACCAAGACACAACGCAGCCAAAAATAAATAAATATTTTTTTAAAAAAAAGCACATCCTCATGTTCAATTCTATCTGATCTGGGAAGTTGACACAGGAGACTCTCTATCCAGGACCCAAAGGGAGAAGTTCTCCTTTAAAGACATGGGTGTCCCCTTTGTCTCCTGGAGAAATTGAGAGCAATGGTCAGGAGACAGGTAGCAACGCTTCCCCGTCCTACCGCCCACGTGCCCTCCCCAGAGGATGCCCAGCTTGTGCAGGTGATTAATAAATATTCCTTTAAAAACAAACTAATGGGGTCTTACCTGGTGGTCCAATGGGTAAGACTATGTGCTCCTAATTCAGGGGGCCCAGTTCGATCCCTGGTCGGGGAACTAGATCCTGCATGCATGCCTCAACTAAGAAGCCCGCAAAGAGTCGGCATGCCCCAACTAAGAGTCCGCATGCTGCAACTAAAGACACCGAGTGCCACAACGAAGATCCCGCGCGCCGCAACTAAGACGCGGTGCAGCCTAAATAAATAATTAATTAATTTTTAAAACGATCCTAGGAAGCATTAAAAAAAAAAAGAATAAATGAATGAATGGGGAAAATGAATGAAGAAACAGGAAGTGAAGGAAAGAAAGAATGCATGGAATTAACAAATGGAATGAAGAAGGAAGAGGGAAAGAATGAATGGATGGTTGGATAAATGAATGAATGAACGAATGGGTGAATTAACGCACGAGTGAGTCAGGACCGGGGAACCCCTGACTCGGAGCCAACGCAGAGGGCGGGGTAAGGGGGATTCCGAAGGGCGGGGCCTCGGTCCGGAAGCGCGGCGCCTGCCGGGGGCGGGGCCTGAGGGCGGGGCGAGCGAGCGCCTCAGACTGGGCTACCCAGCTGCCCGGAGTAGCGGATGCCGAGGACCCCGCTAGCGTTCCGAGCCTCTCCACGCTTCTCGCCGACCCCTCGGGCCCCCGCAGCCCGGGAAGAAGGCCACTCCGGGCCCAGCACCCGCTCTGCAAGGCGGACCTGCAACCCGGAAAGGCGGCGCGGAGTCGGATTCTGCTCGGACCGGGCCCCGGCGGGCCGGCGCCGCGGGGATGTCTGAGGCGCGGAAGGGGCCGGACGAGACTGATGAGAGCCAGTATGACTCGGGCATCGAGTCTCTGCGCTCTCTGCGCTCTCTGCGCTCTCTGCCCGAGCCCACCCCGGCCCCAGCCTCTGGGCCCTCAGACGGAGGGGGCCCCCAGCCCTGGACTCATCCTCCGGGAACCGCCAAGGAGCCAGAGGAGAAGGAAGATACAGACGGGGAGCGGGCTGACTCTACCTATGGCTCCTCATCGCTCACTGAGCCCCTGTCCTTGTTGGGGGACCCCAAGACCGAGGACCCAGCCCCAGACTCGCGGCTTCCCGCCGCGGGGGCGCTGAGCCCTCAGCAGCTGGAAGCACTCACTTACATCTCCGAGGACGGAGACACGTGAGTATGGGGGCTAGGCTAAGACAGGATCCCTTCCTCCCTCCCAATGCTAACTCGAGGTCTCCCCCAGGAGCCGCCACCCCCTATGTGAGAATCCCTCAAGGCACCAGCTCTGGAAGGGGCCGTCCCCACTCTCTCTTTCAAACTTAACTCTCAACCCACTTTTGAGCTGTAGCCAGGACCAGTCCGGAGGACCTGGCATCATCTGCATGCCCCACCTTTTGGCAGGGCCCTTACCAGGCACCTGGAAACACAGCTAGCATCTTGGAAATCTATCAGTAACCCATCCCTAGGAAGAGGAAATTCCCCTGACCAGCCCAGTTTTGTTTTGTTTTGTTTTTTCCTTACTGGGGGACAGGGCGTCCTTGTTTGCTCAATATCTGGGATTCCCGGCCTCTGACCTCAGAATGCCCTGTCTCAAGGAACAAGAGGGGCCAGTTAAAGGCTGCCAGTGGGCCCAGGAAGCTGGGGTTGGGGGTGCTGCTAGGGTGCATTGCTGAGGCTGGCCCTAAGGAGGAGGAGGTGAGCCAGGCTGGGGCACTCTTGCCCCAGCAGACAGACAGGCGGCTGGCTGCCCCAGCTAACTTCCTCCTCTGCTGAGAAAGGGGAAGTGAGGGCTAGAGTCAGCCTTACCGACACTCTCCACCTCCTGAGCCCCACAAGTCCCCCTCACTGTCCTGTGTGACCCCTTTACTTCATCCTTCCTCCCCAGGCCCAGGTGGAGCTTGGTGGAGACTGGGCTGGGGGGCAGTAGAAGTAAGAGACAGTTATGTGGCAGGGACTGGCCAGTTGAGGATTTGCCCCTCGGGAAGAAGAAAACACCGACAGGAGAGGGGGTGGCTGGGATTTGGGGGGGTGAGAAACAGTGGAGGGGGGCTGGGGTCCCAGATCTGGGATGCTGGAATGAATGGGGCTGAGGAGGCAGGAGATATCTGTCTTGACCTGCTTTTTTGGAGATGCAAGGGTCCTTGGTGGCCTTTGAGAAAGGTAGTCTCTTGACCCAGTGGGTGACCCTTGGCCTTTTTGTACTCTGTGTCCAGATCACCAGCCCTCAGGCCCACAACCAAGATTGTGCGAGCTCTGTGCAGAATACCTATGGCTGACCTTTGACCCAGGGAGTGGTGGTTTCTGAGCCCGCCCTCCTTTGTTAACCTCCCAGCCCCTGCCTTGACCATCTCTAGTAGAGACAGATGTGGTGTCTAGACCCAAGGGGGGTTGGGGGGAGAGGTGTCAAGACTCCCCTGGGGGTTCCCTGAGAGGAGGGGGCACCTTCTTCCCTCCAGAGGTGTCTGGGCTGTGGGACATATGGAAATGGGAAGAGGAAGTGGGAGGAGGGGAGACTGAGGGAGAGAGGGAGGTGGCTGCAGGAATGTGACCAGAGAGCAGGCCCTGGCCGAGGGGATTTCCATCGCGGTTCCTCCCTCTCCTCCCTCCCTCCGTCACTCTCTCCTGGGCCTCGCCTGCCACCAGAGCCAGCGCCCCTCCCGCCCGAGCAGCCCCCTCCCCAGCGCAGACGGGCCTTTCAGCTGAGCTACCCGCCTGTCGAATGCCCCGAGGCAGCTGTCCCTGGCCTAGACCCTCCAGCTCCGGCTTTCATTTTCCCCACCTGATGTGGGGAAACCCCAAGGCTGGAACTTCCCCTCCTAGCCACCCCCCGCCCCCCAGGTTACGGCTCTTTATCCCCCACCAAACACACATTTTCTGCACTGCCAGACCTCCCCTCGGAGGAGGCACGCACGGGAGCGGGGACCCTAGGTCAGGCCCCTCCCACGCCCCGCCGTCTGAAGAGTGGCCCTCTGGCCGCCCCGTGGAGGGCAGCAGGATAGGGTTCTGCCCTGCTTCCTGCTCCTCTGCCAAGAGCTCCTGTCTCTTGGAATGTGTTTCTGAGGGGGGAGGGGAGTGATCCCACCCCTGCCTTCTCTGTCCTCCCCGCTGAGGCGGGCAGAGATGGGGAGCCCAGCCCTGGAAACCCCCTCTGCACCACCCCAGCAGCTTTCAGTTTGGCTTTGAGCCTGCAGCTGCCCGGCAGGGCCCTGGAGCCAGAGGGGAGCGGGGTGTGGGCAGGCTGGACAGGAAGGACCTTGTCCCGTCAGCACCCTGCCCGCACTCTCACTCAGCCAAGGCCCTCCTGAAGGCCAGAGATGGGAACTTGGAGCTCCCACCCCCAGGATCCTGGCTTCCCGCACCAAACCTCACTTCCTGGCCCAAACTCTCACTTCCTGCACCTACCGTATGGGTGGCAGCTTAGACATTGATGTGTTCCTTCTAACCCCAGGACCCCAGCCCACTCTCTGTGGCCTGGGCCCTGACCCCAAACCTTGGCTCTTCCTCCCAGGCTGATCCACCTGGCGGTGATTCATGAGGCCCCGGCTGTGCTGCTCTATTGCCTGGCTTTGCTGCCTCAGGAGGTCCTGGACATTCAGAACAACCTTTACCAGGTGGGTGGAAAGAGTGGGCTGAGCCCAGATACCTATGTCTGTCCCAGCAGCCATCCCCAGCAGCAGCACAGCATCCTTAGGCTGCTCTCGCAGGAAGTCATATGCCAGACACTGGGCTAGAAGCTGAGGATTCAGAGAGGAGTAAGAAACAGCCTCTGCCCACAAGGTGCTCAAGCCTGGGCTAGGGGACTCGTGTCAATACCTAATTACACAGCATGGTGACAGAGTTGTGATGGAGATGCGTGCCAGCTGCTGTGGGAACCAACGTCTGTGGGAAGCTGCCAGGGAAGGCTTAATGCGAGAGGTGACTCTGCATAGAGCATTCAAGGAGGAGTTTGCCAGGTGGAGACTGCCTGGTGCCTCTGTCTCCTCCCCCCAACCTCTCCCCATTACCTAAGGTAACAGAGGTCTCCCCAGAAGGTGAGATACTAGACCCTGCCCCCCACTCCATCCTTTCTCCAGGGGCTTAGGCGACCTAAAAGGAGAGCAGGGGGCCACTCCCCTCACCTTGCCTCCAGAATTGGGGTCCCAAGAACTTGGTGGGGGGTAACAGAAGGAAGACCAGGACCATAGCCTTTATAAGCAGTCCTCAAAGAAGGTGCTGGCCTCTAGCAATTTCTGTGCCCACGCTAGCATGTTCCTGGAAGTGGGAGCATGCTGCAGTGGCCCCGTGACCCTCTCTCTGTGCCTGCAGACAGCACTCCATCTGGCCGTACATCTGGACCAGCCAGGTGCAGTTCGGGCCCTGGTGCTGAAGGGGGCCAGCCGGGTGCTACAGGACCGACACGGTGACACGGCCCTGCATGTGGCCTGCCAGCGCCAGCACCTGGCCTGTGCCCGCTGCCTGCTGGAAGGGCAGCCAGAGCTAGGCAGAGGACCGCCTCACTCCCTGGACCTCCAGCTGCAAAACTGGCAAGGTGCGGGCAGCCTCAGGGCCCATGAGATGAGGAGGGGACAGGAGACAGGGACCCCACTCTTAGGGAAGGGAGGGCCACAGCTTGTCCATTGATGATGCATCTCCAGTTCTAAGCACATAGGTACTCAGAATACCTTTGCTTAAAGAAAGAATGAATGGACAAATGAATGAATGAATGGGTTCTATTTCGAATTTATTGAGAACTTACTGTATGCTAAGCAGAGAGCTAAACTTTTCCCTCAAGATATTCAGTTTAATAGAGATTAGATGAACTCATTAATTTATTCAACAAAAATGTACTGAGGGCTTTCTATGTGCCAGACACTATTGTAGGAGCCAGGCTTGCATCTATGAGAAAAACAGAGAATGTCTGAGGCAAACAATAAAGATAAGAAGTGAGTCCTCTAGGAGGTTAACGGGCAGTCACTGCTGTGGAGACAGTAGAGCCGAGTGAGGGGACTGGAGTGGCGGGGGGGTGATGTGATTTTTAAACAGGGTGGTCAGGGAAACCCTCGTGGAGCCCGGACATTTGAGCAGAGATTTGAAAGAGGTGAGGGGTGTGAATTTGAATCTAGTTCTCTAAGCAGAGAGGGGCCCAGGCCAGAAAGGAGCTAGCAAAAAGGCTAGGGGAGCTCATGGGAGGAGGTGGCCCCTGGGGAGGGGCTGGGGGCCTGAGGATCCAGAGAGCTCTCAAGAAGGTGACTTTGGATGCGGCCTGAAGGCAGGTAGAGTTTTAGAAAGAGTGAGTGTGTGTGTGTGTGTGTGTGTGTGTGTGTGTATGTGTATGGGGGAGGGAAGTGTGTGTATGGGGGTGTGGGGGGGGCAGGGGGGTGTGTTGGGGGAGGGTGTATGGGGGAGGGTGTGTGTGTATGGGGAGGGGAGTATGTGTTAGGGGAGTGTGTGTGTGTGCATGGGGGAGGGTGTGTGTGTGTTGGGGGAGAGTGTGTGTATGGGGAGGGGAGTATGTGTTGAGCGAGTGTGTGTGCATGGGGGAGGGTGTGTGTGTTGGGGGTGTGTGTGTGCATGGGGGAGGGTGTGTGTGTTGGGGGAGTGTGTGTGCATGGGGGAGGGTGTTGTGTTGGGGGAGTGTGTGTGTGTGCATGGGGGAGGGTGTTGTGTTGGGGGACGGTGTGTGTGTGGGGGTGTCACTCAGCAACCTGACCCCTGAAGCGTGAAAGTTTCAATAACATGACTCTGAAAAGGTGGAAACTTTGAGTTCCTTTCCCCCCAGACTTTTGAGGGGGTTTTTGGGTTTGTGTTTTAACAGTCCTGTGATCAGAGGCACTGAGTGGGCAGGGGGTCCCTTGGGACTGAGGGGTAAGGGAGGCCCCTGAAGAAAGGGAGAGAGAGCTAGCTGGTGGATGCAGCCCCCACCCTCACCCCATCCCAGGTCTGGCCTGTCTCCACGTCGCCACCCTGCAGAGGAACTGGCCACTTATGGAACTACTGCTGCAGAACGGAGCTGACATCAACGCACAGGTGAGGCAGCCAGTCAAGGTGCTGCCCAGCCCAGGGCCCAGGCCCGGGATGCTTTCTCTTGAGGGCCTTGGCTGACACCCTTCTTTCCCCCCAGGAGGGCACGAGTGGGAAGACAGCGCTGCATCTGGCCGTGGAGACCCACGAGCGGGGTCTGGTGCAGTTCCTTCTCCAGGCTGGGGCCCGGGTGGACGCCCGCATGCTCAACGGGTGCACACCCCTGCACCTCGCCGCAGGCCGGGGCCTCAGAAGCATCTCATCCACCCTGTGCGAGGCAGGTGCCGACTCCCTGCTGAGAAACGTGGAGGACGAGACTCCCCAGGACCTGGCTGAGGATGTAAGAGGCGGACACTCAGCTCTGCTGTCCAGGACCTCCCTCGTGGAGACAGACGCTGTAATAGCTGAAAGGGTCAAGGAGTTAGGAGCCCAGGGTGTAAATCACGGCTCTGCCGCTCACCAGCTGTGGGACCTTGGGCAAGCCTCTGCCCCTCTCGCAGTCTGTGTTCTTAATTGGTCAGGACCAGGGGCCCAAACTTGGACTCCTACAGGAGCCGTGCAGCTAAAGCGCATCAGAGAAGCAGGCTGGGTGTAAGAGAGCCAGGTGGTGGGGCCTGCGGGAGACCAGACAGTCTTTTGTCTGAAGGTCACTCTACTGAACTTCAGCGGATACTTGCAGAGGAGGAAGGTGGGCCCAATATTCCCAGGTCTTGGAATTTTTTAAGAGAGATGAAACCTAGGTTTTCTGTAGAATCTTTCCCATTTTTAAATGTTTGATGTAAAAAAATATTCAAAATGTTTTGTGAGTACCCTTTCCCAACACCCTCCTCCCAAAACAAAAACAGGCCCTAGAAGCCCTGGGGGACCACTGTTTTGGGGGTTAGTAGGAAGATTTGTTCCCTGATGTCCTTCAACGACACTTGGTGGGGAGGAAAAGGCCCAACAGGTCTCCCAGCCCCCTTCCCCCACCACTGCCTTTGTCCACGGGCCCTGATCTTGCTTCTCTCCATCCTCTTCCTCAGCCCTTTGCCCTTTTGCCCTTTGATGACCTGAAGATTTCCGGGAAGCCACTGCTGTGTGCTGACTGAAGCCGGGACAGGCTCTAGAGCCCCTGACGCTCCTCCTTTTCCCATCTGAAAGCTGGAGCCACAGCTGCTACAGTCTGGGCCCAGGCCATGTGCCCTGGGGACTGCTGAGGCCAGAGCCTGGGGCCAGCACAGTCCCGAGCTGAGAGGAGGGACCGCAAATAAGAGAGCCAGTCTGGAAGGAAGAGCTTCCAGGTGGATGGAAGGACCCCCAAAGCCCCAGGCAGCCTGGGCGAAGCCTGTTTACCTCTGTTGAAGATGGCGGGGCTCTTGCCTCTACCCACGTGGGGTCAGCTTGAAGCTGCCAGCCGGTAGGCAACATGGACTCTCCTGAGTGAGGAGAGACACTGAACTGTAGTGAGCAGGGCCCTAAAAGGTTCCATCTCACTGCTGAGGAGAACTTTGAAACACTGTTGTTTAAAGACTTCACACAGAAGGCCCTGAACTGAGCCTTTGGGGATGGAGAAGTTTCAAGAACATGACACTAAAACAGCAGAGACTTTTAAACACCCCCCACCGCCCCACTCCCGCCCCGAGTTGTTTTGTGCGTGTGCCTGTTTGTGTGCATTGGAGATTTTGAGACAGGCCTGCCCTGTGACCTTGTGGTGGAGGCAGAGAGAAGGAAATTGTCACTTGAGCAGGGTAGGGCCTTGTAGGGAGGGTAGGGAGCCTAATGGTCCTCAGGCCTCTCTGTCCAGCACAGACCCTTGCCCTTTCTGTGGAAATGTAGTTGGATGGAGGAAGAGAAAGAGGAGTGAGAAGATGCAAGTGAGAGGCCTCACCATGGCCCTGGAGGACCCTGGAGAGAAGGGCTAGCCTGCGGAGGGTGACACGAGGGAGCGTGGCTTCGTATGTTGTTTTCTCTCATTCCACATATGTTTGAGGCACCTATTAGGTCAGGCCTATGCTGGGATAGAATATGTGGGAATAAGTTTCTGGCCACTTGGAGACTTAGTCTAGTGAGGCAGCCATTAAAATCATAAACATCCAAATAAATATGTAATTGCAAGTCGCGATGGAAGGAAAAGAATCATGGGAGGGAGAGCAGTGGAGTGGGTGTAGGGCCATACTTTGGGTGGTCAGGGGAGGCCTGAGTAGGGGTTAGGGGGAGAGCTTTCAGGGGAAGGCTTTTGGTGAATTAGAAGAACTGAGAGCAGTGGGGCTCTGCAGGGGGGTGGGTGAGGGGGCGAGGTAGACGGGGGCCAGGTCACGCAGAAAGAACCTCCGAAGGTCATGAGGATGCGGGGACAGAACTGCTGGCCCAGCCCCCGAAGGAAGGAGACATCTTCCTGCCAGAAAACGGGGAAATGGTAACATAAGGGGATGTGCCTGGGATGCAGAACCTGTGTCCCCGTTCCTAGGATGGCAGTGGTCACCACCACCTCCGAGCCGGTGGTGGGGGCTAAGGGCGATGACGAAGCAGGGGCGGCACCGGGCTGGAGCTCCCACTCCCCAGACCCCACCCCACCCCACCCGCCCACAGAGGCAGCCTGCCTCCCGCGCGCCGAGCCGCGTCTCCCGCCGGGCCGCGAGGGGGCGCTGTGGCCCGGCGGCGGCCCGGGGCGCCGCGTGGTCGCGGCCGGGGGCGGAGGGGCGGCCGCGGGGAGGGAGGCGGGAAGAGCGCGGCATTTCCGCTAGCCGGTCCCTCGGCTGCTGCTCCTGGAGGCGACAGCGGGAGTGGTGGGAGCGCGCGGCCCGGGGACCCGCATTCCCCGGCCCCGCTCCGCCCCACGCGGCCGGGACCATGGACGCCAGGTGGGGGGCTAGGGGGAGTGGCGAGCCCACGTGACCGAGCCCCGCGCCACGTGACCGCCGCTCCTCAGCGTGGGGGGACGGGTGGGGTCCCATATGCCCGGCAGGAGGCCAGCCTAACGCTGCCCGGACCCGGCGCGGCGGCCGGGGGGGTGGGGGTTGGTGGTGGAGGCGGGCGCCGTGGCGTTGTGCTCTTCGGGGGCTCCGGGAGTGTCGGGCGAAGAAATCGGGGGACCCTGGGTCTCCGCGAGCCCCGAGGGCGGGGTCAGGGATCGCTGGAGGGAACAGAGAGAACCTGTGTGGCCGGAGGGGCGGGTCCGCTCTCGGGGATGGAGGGATCCCTGCCTGGCTCGCGCCGGCCACCCCAGGAGAGAGAGAGGCTCTTTGTCCGCGCTGGGCTGCAGCTGAGGGGGGCGGGGAGGAACTCCGGGCCCTTCTCCAGTGTCGTCCCCTCCGGAGGGCCCAGAGGGTGAGGAGCTGGACCCTGATCCTTCTGCCCGCGGTCCCCGCAGGTGGTGGGCAGTGGTGCTGCTGGCTGCGCTCCCCTCCCTCGGGGCAGGTGGAGAGAACCCCGAAGGCCCTCTGGAGTCATGGACCCAGCTATGGTTCTTCCGCTTTTTGGTGAACGCGGCTGGCTATGCGAGCTTTATGGTACCTGGCTACCTGCTGGTGCAGTACTTCAGGCGGAAGAACTACCTGGAGACAGGTGTGTGGGGAAGTTTGCTCAGTCTGTATTACGAGTGTTGGCCAGCAGTGCAAAGGGGAGGTGGCGTGGCACGGGAGGAAGGGAGGCCAGCAGGGCGGGCTGGCAGCTGTGGGGGAGATGAGGTGCTAGGGAGAAGTTGGGGGTTTCACCTTGTGTGCTTTCTCCAGGCAGGGGTCTCTGCTTCCCCCTGGTGAAAACTTGTGTGTTTGGCAACGAGCCCAAGGCCCCGGATGAGGTTCCTCTGGCTCCCCGGGCAGAGCCAGCAGAGACCAGTCCCACTTGGCAGGCCCTGAAGCTGCTCTTTTGTGCTGCGGGGCTCCAGGTAAGTAGGCAGGCTTTGCGGCTCTTCCTGGGTCGGTCCCCGCGGACAGGGACTCTGTGGAACCAGAGCTTTCACCCCACCGGTCCCAACAGTTTGCTGGTGGTTGTGTGTCCTTCTCCTCCCAGAGGCACACCATCTTCTTGGGGGTGGTTGGAGGAAACGCTGTCTTTTCTGTCCTCCTGTCTCTACCCTCTGTGATTTCTCCCATCCCCTTGTAATGATGTCTCATATACCGTAAACCCACTGTTAAAAGTTTCAGCCTTACCCACTACTGCATGTGAGAGGGGTGCTTAGATGCTGACCTCATGGCATTTTGGAGTGGGCACTTCTGGTTCCACCTAGTGTACCATGTTGAGCTAACAGGTGTGCAGTCTTCTCTAAGAACTCTTCCTCCCACGGGCTTCCCTGGTGGCGCAGTGGTTGGGAGTCCGCCTGCCGATGCAGGGGGCGCGGGTTCGTGTCCCAGTACGGGAGGATCCCGCGTGCCGCGGAGTGGCTGGGCCCGTGGGCCATGGCCGCTGGGCCTGCGCGTCCGGAGCCTGTGCTCCGCAGCGGGAGAGGCCGCGGCAGTGAGAGGCCCGCGTACTGCAAAAAAAAAAAAAAAAGAACTCTTCCCCCCACAGTTGGTCGAAAATAGAGAAGAAAATACTTGGGATGGAGTCGGCTCTAACATCCCTACTGTGGGGACAGACAGGGTCTGGTCAGTCCTAAAGCATTTGTTGTTGGCGTTTCACACACACTTGATTGCCTGCAAGGTGAATCCAGATTTGGGAGAGAAGAAGAGGAAAGTAACTTCTAGTTACTACAGATATTTATGCTGTCCATCCTCATCATTTTCGATATCATCCTGAGGAAGGAGGAGCTTGTCGCCCTTTTTGGCCTGCCTTTTCCTTCTCCCGCTCATCTCCTCTCCCTCCGCCCTCCCCGTCCAGGTGTCTTTCCTTCTCCTGCTCATCTCCTCTCCCTCCACCCTCCCCGTCCAGGTGTCTTATCTGACGTGGGGAGTGCTGCAGGAAAGAGTGATGACCCGCAGCTACGGGGCCACGGCCACACTGCCAGGTGAGCGCTTCTCGGACTCACAGTTCCTGGTGCTAATGAACCGCGTCCTGGCACTGACGGTGTCTGGCCTCTACTGCATCTTATGCAAGCAGCCCCGGCATGGGGCACCCATGTACCGGTACTCCTTCGCCAGCCTGTCGAATGTGCTCAGCAGCTGGTGCCAGTATGAAGCTCTCAAGTTCGTCAGCTTCCCCACCCAGGTGCTGGCCAAGGCCTCCAAGGTGATCCCTGTTATGCTGATGGGAAAATTGGTGTCTCGGCGCAGCTATGAGCACTGGGAATATCTGACCGCCGGCCTCGTCTCCATCGGGGTCAGCATGTTTCTGCTGTCCAGCGGACCGGAGCCCCACAGCTCCCCGGCCACCACGCTCTCAGGCCTCATCCTGTTGGCAGGTTACATTGCCTTCGACAGCTTCACCTCCAACTGGCAGGATGCCCTGTTCGCCTATAAGATGTCATCGGTGCAAATGATGTTTGGGGTCAACTTCTTCTCCTGCCTCTTCACAGTGGGCTCCCTGCTAGAGCAGGGGGCTCTCCTGGAGGGCGTCCGCTTCATGGGGCGACACAGCGAGTTTGCCGCCCACACCCTGCTGCTGTCCATCTGCTCTGCATGTGGCCAGCTCTTCATCTTCTACACCATTGGGCAGTTTGGGGCTGCCGTCTTCACCATCATCATGACCCTCCGCCAGGCTTTTGCCATCCTCCTCTCCTGCCTTCTCTACGGCCACACTGTCACTGTGGTGGGGGGCCTGGGGGTGGCTGTGGTCTTCGCTGCCCTCCTGCTCCGAGTCTACGCCCGGGGCCGCCTAAAGCAGCGGGGAAAGAAGGTCGTGCCAGTCGAGTCATCTGTGCAGAAGGTTTGAGGGGCCTGAGCGATGAAGTGAATAGGACCCTCTCACCGTACCAGTTTTCCTGTCCTACTGTAACTTCTCGGAGGCGGCAGGCTCTAGGGCAAAATGCAGGTTTCTCAGTATCACAGACCAGCTCTGCAGTTGGGGGTAGGGAGCCCAGGAGGCAGCCTTCCCCTTTGCCTTAAGTCCCCCATCCTCTAGTGGGCAGGATTCTTCCCAGGGTGGCAATGACAGTGGGAAGGGGCAGGGGGCAGTATTGAGAAGGCAGAGGCACCTTCCAAAGCCCCTCCCTCCAATTCCCTGAAGTCTTGCCCTGTAGGCTCTGCCAACGCCTCACCTGTGCTTGTCCTCTACCTTGAATACCCACCCTTTCAGACTCCGAGAGACCTGCGTTTCTTACTCTGGCGAGAGAAGCACAAGTGTTGTAGGCTCCAAATGCTGCTTTCCCAGGAGAGTAAGTGAAAGACGGTGCTGTGCTGCGGGAGGGTGTGGGGAGTCCCGCCCAGCACCACCCCCGCCCTCTGCTCCTGGATCCCTAGGCTCTGCTCCATGAGCCAGTTGCAGGTTTTGGTACTTTGGAAATGTAACTTTTGCTCTTATAATTTTATTTTATTAAATTAAATTGCTGCAGCAGGCTCGGTCCTGTGTTTTGGTTGACTGAAGTACAGACTTTCAACTTCAGATGGGCTATGTCCGATAAACCCATGAGAAGCTGAAAATGTGTTTAACACACCTGACATAGCTTACCCTACCTAAAACTTCCATCAGCTCAAAACATCCTACAGTTGCTGTTTAACAGGTGTCAAATATCTCATTTAACTTGTTTAATACTGGAAACGAAAAGACAGTGGTGGTTACGTCTACCACTTGTTTGTGGCCAGGTGGTGGCTGGGAACTGCAGCTCAGCACCCAGCCACACCAGTGAAGGTACCTCATACTGTCAGCCCAGGAAAAGATCAAAAGTAGTTCCTACTGCATGTGTGTGCTTTTGTATCAGCACAGTAAAGTCAAAAAACTTTGAGTGGAAGACCCTCTATGTGCTTTAGGAAAGGGACTTTATTTAAAGTGTTATATGGTAGTTCAAAGATACCATTTATACCTTCAGTGTTTTTTTTCTTTTAATCAGTGTTTTTTAAAATTGAAGTGTAGTTGATTTACAGTTAATTTCTGCTGTACAGGAAAGTGAATGATTGTTATATTTTTTTTAAAGTACTGTTTTCCATTATGGTTTATCATAAGATATTGAATTGTGCACTATACGGTAGGGCCTTGTTCATCCATTCTTGTTCATATAAAAGCTTCCATCTGCTAACCCCAACCTCCCATTCCATGCCTTCCTCATCGCCCTTGGCAACCACCGGTCTGTTCTCTCCTTGATTTGATTCAGAGGTTCATTTGTGTCATATTTTACGTTCCACATGTGATTATCATATGATATTTCTTTTACTTAGCATGGTAGTCTCTAATTGCATCCCTGTTGCTGCAAATGGCATGATTTCATTTTTCATGGCTGAGTAGTATTCCCTTGTATATATGCACATCTTATCTGTCAACAGACGTTTGTTTCCGTGTCTTGGCTATTGTTAGTGCTGCTGCAGACATAGGGGTGCATCTATTTGAATTAGTTTTGTCTGGATACATGCCCAGGAGTGGATTACTGGATATGTAATTCTATTCTTAGTTTTCTGAGGAACCTCCATACTGTTTTCCTTGGTGGCTGCACCACCCTGCATTCCCACCAACAGTGTAGGAGGGTTCCCTGTTCTCCACACCCTCTCCAAGCTTTTGTTACTTGCAGACTTTTTTGTTTTGTTTTTTGACCACGCAGCATGCAAGGATCTTAGTTCCTGAACCTGCGCCCACTGCAGTAGAAGCACAGTCTCAATCGCTGGACTGCCAGGAAGTCCTGTCATTTGCTTACTTTTTAATGTGAGGTGGTACCTCATCATCATTTTGATTTGCACTTCTCCAGTAACTATGTTGAACATCTTTTCATGTGCCTATTGGCCATGTGTATGTCTTCTTTGGAGAGATGTCTATTTAGGTCTTCTGCCCATTTTTTAACTGGATTTTTTTTAAATTAACTTGTATGAGCTGTTTGTGTTATTTTGGAAATTAAGCCCTTGTCAGTTGCATCATTTGCAAATATTTTCTCCCATTCTGTAGGTTTGCTTTTTGTTTTGTGGTTTCAAGTTTCATTAGATCCCATTTGTGTGACTTCTAAACTTATCAGTAACCTTTTAAAAACTTTTAAAGTCCTACTGTGTATCACGTTATCTATACTCAGGATGACGGCAGGTTAAGACTTAGGAAACAGAAACTAGGGAAACTCCAAAGGCAGCATTATACATACTTGGGGGGGGGTCCACATGATTTGAGAAAGAAGCGTGTAAAAAACCTGCATCATCTTTATTTTGCATACTTTAATTTCAGAACAAAACAAACAAAAACAACACAATACACAACATTCAAACCCCATGTCAAATGTGGAAAGGAATAGGGCTTGAGGCCCTTATATCCTGCCTTAGACAGAAGAACAGAAATAAAACCACTAGACATCAGCAGAAAGAACCAAGTGGGCCAAGGCCACTGGGGCTGCCGCTGGGGGAGCCATGGGGACACTATACAGAGAGAACAAAGTCTGCAGGTAGAAATTCCTAATCTACTTCTTCCATGCGAGAGGCATCCTCATCACCCTCAAGGGGGGGGATCTCATCAGGAACAGCAGTACCGGGCTCCTCTGCTGCCACTTCATCTTCGTCAATGCCTAAAGGTAGGAAGAATGCCACCTGAGATCTGACCCAAAAAGCAGTCCAATCTGCCCACCAGACCAGTTCCTCATCTCCTTGCCACACTCAAGAGGACAAGAGTACTCACCCAAGCCTAGCTTGATCATGCGGTAGATGCGGTTGGAGTGGGTCTGGGGATCCTCAAGCGAGAAGCCGGAAGAGAGCAGTGCAGTTTCGAACAGCAGCACCACCAGGTCCTTAACAGCCTTGTCATTCTTGTCTGCCTCTGCCTTCTGCCGCAGGGTCTCCACAATGGGGTGGTCAGGATTGATCTCCAGGTGCTTTTTGGCCATCATGTAGCCCATGGTCGAGTTGTCCCGAAGTGCCTGGGCTTTCATGATGCGCTCCATGTTGGCAGTCCAGCCATAGGTGCTTGTCACAATGCAGCAGGGTGAAGACACAAGCCTATTGGAGATTGTCACCTGTGGACAGTCACAAAAACCTTGGGTTCATATTAAATCAAATTGCTACCTTGAGGCAAACGTGATACTTAAAGTTCTGTTCTTGGGGGAAAAAAAATACCTCATCTTTGGTAAGTTTAATAGAAACAGCAACCTTAAAATCTGCCTGGTCAAGAAAACAAAGGGTAGGATTGGCGCTAAACAAATTGTGCTGCCCCAAACCACTAATTGTATAGCAACCAGAGACTGAGGGAAATAGCCCTGAAGGCATCTGTTAAAAGTAACTTAGTTCCAGAGTTGCTTACCTTCTCCACCTTCTTATCCAAGATCTCTTTCATGAGTTTGCAGAGGTTCTCAAACTTAGCCTTGCTCTCCTCCATCTTCTTCTTCTCCTCCTCATCCTCAGGCAGCTCCAAGCCCTCCTTGGTAACTGAGACCAGACTCTTCCCATCAAACTCCTTGAGCTGTTGCACACAGTACTCATCTATCGGCTCTGTCATGTACACCACCTCGAAGCCCCGCTTCCGCACTCGCTCCACAAATGCAGAGTTGGCAACCTGCTCTTTGCTCTCACCTGCAGGATTACTTAGTGTGACTCAAGGGCCAGTTCCCAGGTATCCTTGAGTGCCCTCCCCTTCTCCCCACACCTCTAAGGAGAGGCTTTGATCATTGATCAGATGCAGACTCCAACGCACCAGTGATGTAATAGATGGACTTCTGGGTCTCCTTCATGCGAGACACGTATTCTGAGAGAGAAGTCATCTCATCTCCAGACTGGGAGGTATGATAGCGCAGCAGCTCAGAAAGGCGTCGCCGGTTAGTGGAGTCCTCATGGATTCCAAGCTTGAAGGGTGGAAAGAAAAATACAATCTTGCTAAGAAATAATTTATCCTCTATGTGAGTAAAAAATAATCCATCATAATTATTAAGTAAAAAAGTACTTGCTGCCTCTTTACCTTTAGATTTTTAGAGAACGCCTCATAGAATTTCTTGTAGTTCTCCTTGTCTTCTGCCAGCTCTGAGAAGAGCTCAAGGCACTTCTTAACAATGTTTTTGCGAATGACCTTCAAGATTTTGCTCTGCTGGAGCATTTCTCGGGAGATGTTCAGGGGAAGGTCTTCAGAGTCAACCACACCACGGATGAAGTCTGAAATCAAGTACGTAAGCTCAGTTTAAAAAAGGGGAGTGGAGAGAATAAAGGTATATACACAGGGTTATCTGGATTCAACAGGACCAATTTTCTCACTGAACCTTCACATGTTATGTTGCAGAGGATCCTTAATCTAAGATAAAGACTTCAGTCCCCTTGAGAATGCTGAACGCAAGCACATTAGGCCAAAAAGATACTCACTGAGATATTCTGGTATTAATTCATCACAGCTGTCCATGATAAACACACGGCGGACATAGAGTTTAATGTTGTTCTTCTTCTTTTTGTTCTCAAAGAGGTCAAAAGGAGCCCGACGAGGGATGAACAGCAATGCTCTGAATTCCAACTGACCTTCTACAGAGAAGTGCTGAAAGAAATCCAAGATAATACAACTGTGTATTTCAAAATAAGGGTGGCTTTTTGTCCCAACCCCAAATTATCCAATATTTGGAACTAAAATCTTCCCCCTAAGCACCAGGAATAGAGTGGACGCTAAGGCAACTGTTGAGAAAATTTAAGCTCTAACGCCCTAAATGAACCCAACATGGTACAAGCTGTGTATAATCCCTGGGTCAATGAGGAAATCATCAAATCAGGACCCCGGATGGGTAAAGCTGCCACAGAACAAGTGAGGTAACTGGGAGAAATGTCATTTCTCCACCCTGGAAGGGTCCATTAGCAAGTGAACTCATGGCATTCACAGCTCCCAGCTACCAACCAGCTGGGTAAGTTGCATTTGCCCATTATCGGCTCCTCCTATTGAGCCAACAAGTAAGGCTTCTTACCTTCACTGCCAAGTGATCTTCCCAGTCATTGGTGAGGCTCTTATAGAACTCTCCATATTCCTCCTGGGTGATGTCGTCAGGGTTTCTGGTCCAAATGGGCTTGGTCTTGTTCAGTTCTTCCTGGTCAATATACTTCTCCTTGATCTTCTTCGTCTTCTTTTTCTTGTCTTTGCCACTGTCGTCCTCCTCATCTGAGCCCACATCCTCAATCCTGGGCTTCTCCTCATCATCTTTACCTTCCTCTTCTTTCTCACCTTTCTCGTCCTCTGCCTCATCATCACTGATTTCCTTCTCGCGTTCCTTCTCCAGCTAGAAGTATCAAAGATGATAAATGCAGAATACAGAAAGCAGAAAACCAAAGGTCCATTTAGATTCTCTAAAGCATCTTCACTCGAGTTACCAGTCCATACTTACATAGAGCGTGATGGGATAACCTATGAACTGTGAGTGCTTCTTCACCACTTCTTTGACCCGCCTTTCTTCTAAGTACTCTGTCTGGTCTTCCTTAAGGTGGAGAATCACTTTGGTACCCCGCCCAATGGGCTCACCTAGAAAAAAATCAATCCAAATGGAATAAAAAATGAAACTAAACGCAAAACTGTAAAAACAACTGCTTTACAGATAAAATGCTCAAGATCTTTATTACTGTTTCCCCAGAATTCTCACCCAGACACCTTAAGAGGAAAGCTAACTTACCATGGTCACCACGTACAGTGAAGGAACCCCCAGCAGAAGACTCCCAGGCATACTGTTCGTCATCATTGTGCTTTGTGATCACAACCACTTTCTCTGCCACTAGGTAGGCAGAATAGAAGCCAACACCAAATTGCCCAATCATGGAAATGTCTGCACCAGCCTGCCAAAAAGTTTAAGGAAGTCGAATGCAAGTTTCAAAGAAACAG